GTTGAAGTTGTCACTTCTTTTACGTCAAACAAAAAAAGTAGCCACATTTGGCGCAATGTAGCCAAATCTTGCAACGTTGGAAATAAATAAAGCTGTAGTTGTGAATCAAAGGATTATAGACCCAAGTGCAAGGAAACAAGAGAAAGAACAAAAGATAAAAAAGTGAGAAAGGTTGGAAAATTAAGGGTCAACAGAAGATCTATTTAACCTTTCTCACTACTACATCTTTTGTTTTTTTTTTCATCTTTCGCTCCTTTTCCCAAATTTGGGTCTATAAACCTTTGAGTCACAACTCCAGCTTTATTTAGTAATCCTTCCTCATTCACACATTTCCAAGTATTTGAAAATAATTCCATTCCACTCAAAAATAAAATATGAATAAAGGTTTACGGCTTTGTGAAACTTCTTTTTTGAGTTTATGCCGTTGAAATAGATAAAAAGTAAAAAAATAAAAACATTTTGTCGGTTTTGTTTACACGTTTACTGGGCCGCATTGGAAGTTGCCTTGAGCCGCGGGTTAGACACCTCTGATTTAAACAAATAACTTAAAAGTCTTTGAAAAAGTCTAACGAGTAAATAACTTTTTAAAAAATTTAGGAGAAACAAAATATTACAGTATGTTTAATCTGTTGATAAAAGTTTTTGAAAAGTTAATTTAATCCAATTTTCATCTCTTTGAAACTTGACAGCTCATAATCATGTTGCATATAAAACAATGTTGAAAATTGACTCGTAATTTTAGCTTATGGTGTTATAAACACTATTGTTATAAAAATGAAATCATTTATTATTCAAACATCAATAATTCGTTTAAGAAGTTACGCTGTTATATAATTCATTATTTTAAATAATTTTAGTGTCTTATTATAATATAATAGAAACGTTTTATTCGCAATAAANTAATATCCGATTTCCCAAACATATACCGTATATTATATATAAAATATTGGTTTCATAAGTATAGCTCGATATTTCATGTCTAATTTATAGTTTAAATAAAAAATAAACTCTTTCATAACTTAAATTACATTTTTATTAATCTTAGAATAAGTATTTGAGGTATATTTTTCGGACAATAGTTTCAATATTTGTATCGACAAAGAAATATTTCATTACTAATCATTTACTACAGCCACCAATGGCCGAGTAGATAAAACCACTGGCCATGGGTTCGAGTTTTGCCAACGAACTGGCCGCGTGGAATTTTCCGAGTTTTTCACGTGTCTAATATATTTAAATGGAGGCCAGTTTCCCATAGAAGTCTTTCCAGGTGAAGAAGGGATTCCTGCTCTTAGCAAATCGACCATTGTTGTATTGCCTTGTCATTAATCCAATCCACACCAATTATTTACCATAATATTGATGAAGGTGTAAATTAGAGATACTTAAGTTATGAAATCTTTTAATCATTTTTTGTCTTTTATATTTTTTACTTTTTATTCGTGCTTTAAAATAGAAACAGAAGTAACCTTTAAAGCATAATTTCTATTACAAATAGAATATTTGTTTCTTGTGTTTATTAAAGAAACGAAAATTACATTAAAAAATTTAGAGTTTTATTCAGAAATACAACAAAAGCCCATAGCTGAAAATAAAAATTTTCGTTATATAATGATTCCCTTTTCTCTCTTAAAATTTTCTTATCACTCTTCGAATACAGTATCATTCTACGCAGCGCAAACTAGAAGATTTTCTTCTCGTGAAGGATATGAATGAATGGCACGGGGTGGTGTAAATACTAACCAAACTGATGTGATTGATATTTGAACACTAACCAAAGCCCCACAAATGATCAACTGAGATTGAGGAGATATGAATGCTGGTTTGCTGACAGTTTTCTTTCCAGCATTAAAAATACGTGAAATGCGATTAGTTTTAGTTAATATGGCACTGTATACGATTGCAAAGCACAAGCCGATGCCTGTTTTCTGAACACCGCATATAATATCTGATGGTTTCTGTACCAAAATAAAGGTCATAATGTAGCACATGAAAATGCCACAGAGTAAGACGTAACTGAGTTCTCTTCCAGAAGCTCTAACGATTGGAGTGTCATTATGTTTCAGAAATACCGTAGTGAAAAATCCTGTTAGTATAATTCCTAAAGTAGAGAATGTCATAGCACCCAAAGCCCATGAACATCCAGGTGTCATATGAGATTCCGGTATCTGCAAGCATGACGCTTGTTCTGCATCCGGTAAAAATCCTGGAGGGCAATCTGCACAAAGTGTCTCAGTTTTTAAGAATTGATAACGAGAACAGTTAAAGCAATGCCAGCAACAACTTTCTCCTTCCAAAAACTTCTTAGCTTGACCTTTACTGCAGGGTAAACTGCAGACTGAAATAGGTACATTCGGATTATCCATTCTAAATCTGATTTCAGAGAGATTCAACTCGAGTTCGCCATCTTTGTATTCCCCTACTTGAATCCATTTGTAATTTCCAGGAGATATTTGTTTGAAATGAATTATGTTATAACGTGCAGGACCATCTCCAGATGGAGAGAAGCGAAACTCGTCTCCACTCATACCTATAATTAAAATAATTTAAATTACGGTTTGAATATATATACAGTGACGTAATTATTTCATTACTAATTACTAATAATTAAAATTAATGTTACCTGTAAAAGATACTGTCTTTAAATATTCTAATAAAATTGTTCCATTAACAGGCTTCATTCTTTGACATAATCCAGATTTCCCCTGACATAATTCTTGATGCATTCTTTTCAATGCATAAGCAAAAGTTAATACAGCATCACTAACAAATTGAAGTTGACCTTCTGGTTCGTAACCATTTTCAAAATTCATTTGCTCTTTTCCTGTACAGAAACGAGTATAATTTCCATTAAATGGGGTATCAGTGCTATTTGGCCATCGACAGTTAAAATAATGTTCCCAATATTCTATAAACCAAGGATTTCTTCGATTATTATAGACCGTTCTACTAAGAAAATATTCGTCAAAGCCTTTCACAGGATGTGCTCTTGGCTGTACAGAAAGAGTACCTTCCACTTGATCTTCGTTACCTTCGAATACCAGAGCCCTTGCACTCCATCCATCACTGCCTATCCAAGAGAAAGTTCCTGTTGCATTGTTCCTGCGAATTGCTCTCATTACTCCAGCAACCTCTTGATCAGAACCGAAAATTATTACCCCTGGAAATAATTTATTTTTTAATATAAAAATGTTTACAATAAACAAATAATATATAAAAGATAGATTATAATATATTAATTCCATTAAAAGAAGAAAAACAAAAAAGAGAACAGAAAATACGCTTTTACTTAGAACTTGTTTCATTCTTCAAAAACAATATTTTGTCTTAATTTTTTATTAACAAAATTATAATCATAATAATTACGTCAATAAATATTTTATAAATAAAACTATTCAATATAAAAATGAATAAAAATAATAAAACAACAAAAATATCTTAAATGAAATTAAGAATAAAAAATTTTTTAATTCTGTTGTACTGTACAACAGAATTTAAAAATTATGTTGTACTGTACAAGATTATTTTCAACTACAGTATATTTTTGTATTTAAAAAATTATAAAAGATGTGATGAGAAAACAGTAAATTATAATGCCAAAAATTACTAATCAAAAATAAAAACCAAATTTTATGATATAATATCCGATTTCCCAAACATATACCGTATATTATATATAAAATATTGGTTTCATAAGTATAGCTCGATATTTCATGTCTAATTTATAGTTTAAATAAAAAATAAACTCTTTCATAACTTAAATTACATTTTTATTAATCTTAGAATAAGTATTTGAGGTATATTTTTCGGACAATAGTTTCAATATTTGTATCGACAAAGAAATATNTATACAACCTACAATTTGGAATATATAGAATTTAGACGGAGGTGAAACTAGCAAATTTGGATTGCATGTCCCGACCAACCAAAAGCTCAGGATCTCACCACATAAATCTTGTTTGTGTCAGACTTATGTTAAAGATAAAGATGCCAACGAACCAATTCATTTTTACCTGTAAATGGTTTACAGAGTTTTTATATGTTCTCTAACAAAGACCCGACGTTCTTTGTTCTACGTTCAATCGTTCGAACGACCATTATTCTATTAATAATAATTAATAGAACATTTAATAGCGCCCGTTCATGATATGTGGATAATGTGGAGATATATTTCAACAAACCAACATAGCTTTGAACTTGATATTATTAGAATATATTTATAATTATACTGTTTCCGAGTTCAATGCATTTGTTGAAGCCAGTGTGGTGGATAGTCGATAAACAAAAAGTTCGACTCCGCAAATTTGAAATGTGCTACACCAATTCCGACCTTTCCTTTCCTTTTTCTTTTTCTTTTCTTTTTTTTAATGTCAAATGTCAAAATGCGATTTCTTTTATAATAAAGGTAGCACTGGGTACCCAAATATTTTTATTTAAAATTTCTCTATTTAAGACTGTACTAAAATTTACGGTGAGAATCGAAAAATGGATATAACGAATTTACCTTAGAAAAACTTTCGAGTAGGCTACATAAAGTAACGCACTTTATCTTAACAACCTAAAGAATTCCACTTTTATTAATTAACGCCTGAATAGGGGCCAATTTCCCTTAAATGACCTTCGGAAGGCACATTTCTCCTATTGGCAGATCGCCTCGTGTTGCGTGCTAATAGACTATCTGAAAGCATTCAATCAATACTCTCACAAATTGAAAAATCATTCGCTTTTTGAGTGGCTCATACGCTACTTACGTTCAGTCTTTTTCGCGTAGCGTACGAGATATTCAAAAAAAACAATAAAGAAATATAAAGATTAATATATTTTTTACAAAATGCAGTCAATGAAATATTGCGCGATGTTCGTAATTTTTGGTTTGGTAATAGCGAAAACATACCTAACCCTGCATATGTTATATAAAAGATACAACTCTCTAGGCGATGTGAATATATTTGTTTAAATTAATAAAAGCTATTTTCTGAAAATAGAGCAAGTCCCGTGCGACAGACATAAAATTTTGGTTGGAAATGGCTTTTATTGGTGAATATCTTTTCGATATCTAAATTTTTCGAAGTGGCAAGTTTCTAAAAATTTCTGTAAATACTAATTAAAAAGTATTTTTCATATTTAAATTGTAAATAATAATTTCAACCATTGTAGAGTCGGAGTCGTAATCGGTAAAACTATTTCGACTCCTACCTTCAATTTTACTATTGGTAAAATGTACCAATAGTAGGATTTTACCAATTTTTACCAATTTTACCAATAGTAAAATTGAAGGTAGGAGTCGAAATAGTTTTACCGATTACGACTCCGACTCTACAATGGTTGAAATTATTATTTACAATTTACGAGTATTTAGAATAAAGTTTATAGATAAGCGAATGTAATTTAAGACAAACGGATAATAATAAAACCACGTGCATAAAAATACAGTAGTAAATTATTGAAAATATGGACCAAACCTTTAAATCTTCGTGAATAAATCCGGAGGAATTTCTGTCCCTCTCATCCCATGTTGTCTCTATATTTTCTCAAATGAATCTCAGAGATAGCATAAAGGAGAATACTTCAAATGTTGCCAGTATAATTCTGACTACATACTATGAACATAACCACTCTGATTAGACCGTAAATAGTACAGAAAAAATATAATTTAAAACTGGATCAAAGTTGTTATCGAGTATAAAGGAAAATGAAAATTATAAGATTTTTAATCATAACCAATTGAATTAAAAATTTTATTCAATTGTTATTAAATACCAATTCAATTTTAAAAAAATACTTGTTTAAAGGCTTAAATAATATTTGTACTGGATTGTCTTTTATTCTCGTTGTAATTATTATAAGTAAGCATAACATTGGTTGAGAGAACGATCATCTATGAACGAACCATGGAAGAATACAATTAAGATGGATATACAACTTTAATTCGTTTCTGATAACATCAGAAACTATAACAAGCTTAAATAATAATTTATATACTGTATTTTCTTCATTTTAATATCATACCACCCATTTAATATAATGTGTTCAGGATAATAACGACAAATTCAATATATATATATATAATTTATTATTTTATCTTAAGTAAAATGGGATTAAAATTATATTTTTATAAGAAATTTACAATTTATTGGATAAGACAACGCAACACTTATGTGATTTGTAAAGGGAGATGCCGCTTGTTAAAGCGTTCTATGTGAAATTGACCCATTTATGTATTAGACACAAGAAAAAAACGCAGAAACTCAATGTGATCAGTCGTTGGTCAGATACGAACCCACGACCAACTATGCATTCAATGGTTTTATCTACTCGTTCAATAAATTTAATATTGGTGTAATTATGTTAATACTGTATTAAATAACTCTATCGATACGAATAATTTTCATGCTATTACATACTACTTAGAAAATAAGCCAATAGAATGATAAAATATAAAATTTAAAGACTAGACACTACTTTATTCTTTAATTCACAAAATAATCCAAATCAATATTTTTAAATTTTATATTTTTTCTCAATAAAATTATATACGTATGTCACAATTTAAAATATAATATTGTAAATTTGTATATTTACATACGTATACTTTATAAAAATATATAAATATCATGTTTTATTTTTAATTGCCATACTAAGAATATAAACATTTGTCTTCGAGATCATTTTCAGTTGTCAAATATCGAAAATTTTAATATTCAGTACCTTCATAAGTCTAAATAACAACAACTAAATATCTATAAACAAGAAATAGTGCTCATTATATCAAATAAACTGACGGAAGAAAAATAAACATAAGTTAAGTAATATTAGGACTATATTGACTTCAATTTATGATGTAAATGTATTTATTTATTCTCTTCCATAGAAAAATTATTACTATTTATTTCAATTTTATTCCTGTTATAAAAATCTTATTTTCGTGAAAATTATTGTAAAATAAATAAATAAATAAAGATTTAAACGTTTAAACATTAAAAAATTGATTTTTAGTCGACACAAGTTTTACTTTCCCGGCTGTTATATATAACAGGAAAAATATAGTAATCGTCAAAAAATGACCCCTCCTGCACCAAGATTTTTACATTTTTGGACTTAGGACACCTTGAAACGTCGAGAAATTTAGAAAAATTCGTTTTTTTTTCTTTTTGTATATATGGATGTTAGTGGTGGGAGGCACAATTTTGTTCATCCTTTGAAACTTAGTAACTCCTGTGCTTTTCGTCGAAATTTTCTGAAATTTTACAAGGAGGTTTATGTATTAGGGGAATTAATGCTATTAAATTTTGGTGGTTAAAGGTCGAAGGGGTGTGGAGATAAAGGGGATCGTGTGTATTTCCAGTAGGGTCTGATTTAATAACGATTTTACTTGTTATTAGCATTTACAATTTTTTTATAAAACCCATCCTTATCCTCAAAATTAAGTTTTTTGCCAATTTATAATAATTAAAAATACAAAAAGTTCATTCTAGTAAGATATCGTAACAAATGGCACCACCAAATGTTGCCCGGAAAGTTCAGCAACTTGTTGCTGGATTTTTATTTATATCAATAGGTTTGTACGTTGAGGATATTTAATGAGTAAATAAAAGAATTTCATATCAAGACCTCAAAAAATTCTAATTAAGAATAAGTAATATTAATATTAATAAAATAATTATTAGCAATTTCAAAAATTTTATCAACTTTACTCAAAAATTCGATTTAAATGGAATTTTTATTATATAGATTTTTACATGTAAGAAATGTTATCTTTAGAAACAAGAAATTCAATTTTGAAGCATTTATCATTATGTAAAGAAATAAAATTTCGAAGAAAAATGTCAAGGTTTAACAATCAGAAAATCGAATTGAAAAAGAAAATTGGAAATTATTATCCTCCGTAGATCCATTAAGGGAATAAATGGCTTTTTGCACGCTTCTGAATTGTAGTTAATCTTCGAAAGAAATAAAAAATCTTCGATAGCTAATTGTATAAGAATCTTTCATGGTAGTAATATTTTCAGATTTTTGGAGTAGAACATATAAAAATATTTCGTAAACAATAGGATTTAAAAACAATTTTTTCTTCCTGTTACAACTTTTAATACTTGTCTAACGTCTTCATAGCAATAATAATCAATATCAAACTCGTGTTATATAAAACAGCTATAAAAA